GAGGAGGACACAGAAGGCAGGGCTGGGAATGCCGAGAGCACAGGAGCGGAGGGAACACACGGGGATCCCGACGGGAGCTGTGGGCAGCCAGCACTGCCCGGGATTGCCTTACGCCACCACGGCAGGGAACAAGTGCCAGCAGCAGCTTTAGCCACCCATGGTGACCCGCGGAACTGGCACCGCCGCAAATGYCAGCCAGGACACAACGGCCTGGGCTGCACAGCCACAAGGTTCACACTGAGATTCCCCGAGAGCTTTCTAACAATGAAACCTCCTCRCCAGGACAATGCAAAGGACAGAAACTGTGGAAACTGGCTATCAGAGAGGATTAAAACCGTGCTACAACAAAATGTGCAATTAAAACAGCCGAAACTCTGAACTGTGGATCCCAGGCCTAGATTTTTACAATTCCAAACTTAAAGGAAGTTATTTTCATAGAGAATATATATCCTTTTCAGTAAAGGATACGTGTCCCTAAAAAAAAAACCAAATAACTGCTAGTACCACTCAATAGCTTCGTTCTAATCCTGTACAGGTGACAGCAACTACTGAACTCATTTTATTCAATTATTGACCACAACATCTTTGGAGAAGAAATTAACATATATTACATGCTTGTATAAGGCAGGATCAGCAGGGAATGCACAGTTTATCCTGTACAGTACTATCTCCCAGATTATTTCTCAGACACAGAGAGACAATAGTGACCACAGCAGTGTCCATGGCAGTGACCACAGCAGGACCTTAGGCAGGACCGTGGTGAGTGTGGTGACACATAAGCAGATAGGCCAGCAGGGAACCTGCAGGGACAGCAGGGAACCAGGAGCAATTCCATGGCAGGGAAGCCCTCTCTGTGGCAGCTGGCACCCCAGCATCCCCACGCCCAGATACACATCCACATCCAAGGCAGGCGAGGACAGCAGAGCAGGGCATGAGACATTTTTAAGGAATGAAATGACGCATGGCTTGGATTTTTAATTTCTTCCAGATGGGAGACAAAATCAAATTAAGGAACAAAACTTCATTATCTTAAATATGGCCTGAATACTTTACAAGACCTTTCCATAATCAAATTTGCACATAATCAGCTTTTAAGATGGCAGACTGGTCTTACCAGCTACAATCTCAGGATTTTCTTGAAAATCTTTCTAAGCATTAAAAAAATATGCAAACATTTAGTATTTTTCATCATCACTTATGCCCAGGCTTCTCTTCTATGCACCATGAAGCGTCGAGGGAAGCTGCTGTGAATCCAGAAGCATCCYTTTCTCTCATCCTTCACCTGTTTGTCTAGGCCTACAACTGACAGCAGTTCCAGTCAAAACCCTGTGTTTATTTGTCTTGGGATAAAGGCCATAAATTCACTGTGTGGCACCGGACAAGAGGCATGGAAGCCGTGCCAGCACCACAAACAAAAATTGGCTTTACCATGCTCATTCTTCCCCAAACCTGCTATGGGCGGACTGAGCACAACCAGTCTGCCAACACTCTGGGCAGCTGCAAATCAGGGTCGGACAAGGGAAATTAATTTTGTGCTGCAAAACACATTAATTTTGTGCTGCCTTCGGGAGCACCAAATTCAGTTTTAACTGGTTCTAGCTCTGACTGCTCGTTTGCCATCATTACACGGTTGCGGGTCCGTCTCCTGGGGCACAGGAGGCCAAAAAAGGTCTGTGATTCCAGAGTCACAGCAAACCTCATCCCACAGTCCCATCAGCCTGGTGCCAGCCAGCATCAATCTGTCACGAGCAAACACCTTAAACAAGGAATTAAAAAGTAGGACAAACACCAAACCTTGCCACAGTCTAATTAAATTAAATTACTTTGCTGCAATTAATGAGCATTTAAGAACCCAACAAGATTGTGGCMCAGATTCATCCTAACCTGATCAATTAACTATAATCGTCGAGGCAGAGGGGAAAAGACTTTCCAGAGGTGCAATACAAATCTTGCTTTCTTCTCTGACACTGAGAGAGGAGATTTGCTCTTCTCTGAGGTGTCACACCAGTACCTAAAATTATGCTCTTGATGGAACTGTCTCAGACTCATAAAGGGAGAGAATCAGGTTTCATTTTCCATTCAGTCCTCTGTTTACATCCAGGAGATGTGACCCCAGTTAATTTATATCCAGCATAAAACCTGACCAGTTACTCAGCCCCACGCTCTSCCTCCCCTGCTCTTCCAGTTGTCCCCCATTTCTGTTTCGTCTCCAATCCTGCACATCTCCACCTCCTTCTGGCACAGACATCTAAATGTGGTTCAGCAAGGATGTACCTACAAACCTGTCCTTCACACGACTCACCCTGACACCACAAACCAGGCAAACCTTCCTTCCCCTCGCCCTGTCCTGCTGCTCTGCAGGAGAGCCAGGAGCTCCACTGGTGTGGCCATGGCCCTCTGTGACCCACCCCAGCTCTGCTGGCCACTGGCCTTGTCCCCTGGACTCAGGGAGAGGGACAAAGGGACACAAAGCCTCTCGCTTTGTGGCTCACATTTTCTGAGGAGAACTCATCTGTGGCAAGCTGCAAGGACAGGTCAGGAAGAAAAGTTCCCAAAGCACCACCTGGTTTGCTGGAGGTAAAGGGCTGGATCATGCTGCTGTCTCGGGAGGTTTTTAAAGGGTTWATGATGGTTTTGTTGAGGAGGGGTCAGGCTTGACAGAGTGACAGAAATAATTTCAGCAGGAGAGGCTGACAGAGCATCCCAGAGTGRTTCAGGTGGGGAGAGACTTCAAATCCCTTCCAGTGCCACCCTTGCCATGGGCAAGGGACACCTTCCACTGTCCCAGGCTGCTCCCAGCCCCAATGTCCAGCCTGGCCTTGGACACTGCCAGGGATCCAGGGGCAGCCACAGCTGCTCTGGGCACCCTGTGCCAGGGCCTCCCCACCCTCCCAGCCAGCAATTCCTTCCCAATATCCCATCCATCCCTGCCCTCTGGCACTGCCAAGCCATTCCCTGTGTCCTGTCCCTGCAGCCCTTGTCCCCAGTCCCTGTGCAGCTCTCCTGGAGCCCCTTTAGGCCCCAAAAGGGGCTCTGAGCTCTCCCTGGAGCCTTCTCTTGTCCAGGTGAGCACCCCCAGCTCTCCCAGCCTGGCTCCAGAGCAGAGGGGCTCCAGCCCTGGCAGCATCTCYRTGGGGAGAGAATGTGAACTGAGGGACGAGCAGCACTCGCAGTGATGTGAAAACTCACACAGTTTGACTGAGGTTGTGCAGTGTCATGTGAGGAGGGATTAAGGAAGAAAGCAGCAGAAYTGAATGAGGAACAAACTCCTGCCCAAACATGTGTCAGCATAAAGAGGATCTCCCTTCAGCACTTGACAATGGTGGGACTAAACAGGACTGTGCTGCACCTCTACACTGAGTTCAGCACAGCTGTTAATTTTTGTCTTGCTGTGTCACAATTTGAGGGGATTAAATTCTTCAACACACCAGACAAGTCCCTGCTGTGCCTTATCAGGAGGCATCTGGCCAGGTCAAACTAATTACCAACATGCACAAGTGCCCTTATCTGGGAGCAAATGTTCTGCTGGTCCAATTATGGATTTGTGAAATGGCAAAAGCTACTCTTAAGGGAAGGGTTCATCACATTCCTAAAAGGCAGCACTGGTTTGGTCAGGGAGCTGGGAAGCTCAGTGTCAATTAGAGCAAGGCCAGCTTTAATTACTGCCCAGGCTGCCTGAACTGTGGCTCTCCCCTCGGTGCCAAYGGGTATCCGTCAGTGCACAGCAACTTGTGCTGGATGACTTTGCAGACTGAAGGGTGGGTAAACAGAAACGCATCTCAAATGCTTCTGAAACCCCATGTCAGTGATTAGTTCCAGCCTTTCTTCCATGTACAGAAATTGGCRCCTGTGTTGAGGAGGTTTTGTTGCATAACACAAGCTGAAATCATTAATTCAAGGCCACGGAGGTCTCGCAGAGTTTCCAATCCTTTAGGTCCCCATCAGTTTTAGGCCAACTGACATTCTCCCGTGCGTACCCACAGCAACCTGTCTGGTGAGCCTGCCCTACCCTGGGTCTGGTGTGGAGGCACCACTGCACTCGATTYTCCTTTTCTTCCATAACAAACACACAGGCCTGGCCCACCCAAGCATGACACAAACCAGGCACACACAGCCCGGCTTCATCACCTCAGCAATGATAAAGCAGTCTAAAATTATTACATTAGGCAGGCACCAGCCATAAGTGGGTCTCCCCGCGAGACTTCTACCTAAAGAAAGCAGCTTTCCCTGCACCCATAACCCTTCTGCAGGCCAAGCAGTCATCTCCATTCCAGAGCAGGGACATCCCAGGAGGAAGGAGCAGAAGGATGGGGAACGTGGTTCTGCACAGCAGCTCGGCACCTCAGGCTCCCTGAGCTGACCAGGTGCTACTGTTGAGGGAAGTTAGCAGGGAACACCGGCAAAACTATTTCAGGTTCCTTCCAGCAAAGTCCTGAGCCCCTACTTTAAAGGACATTTCTAAGGCACCTTGAGATCGGCAGATTAAAAGGAACAGTCATAGGCATAAGTCACTATTAAAGTGTTTGGCAGAGGCAGGCAGGTTATTTTGGAAGCAGGTCTTTAACATATTGAAATTACTTTTCTTCCCTTTTATTCTGCAGCAGCCAATAAAACAGGGAGAAAAGTAAGGTGGGGAGTACTTAAGCAGCGTAAGTAAGTTCACCACTTGAGGCTGGAGGCATTCAGTAAATAAAGCACACTYAGGTGAACTCAAATGAGAATAATTTCAGAACATCTTCCTAAAAAGAGTATTTGTGAATTACTGTAATTTACAGTATTAGAAAACTTCTTGCAGCACCAGCAGAAAGTAGGGCTGAATTTGATGTTGGAGCCTTGGTTTGTAACAGTTCTTACCAGGCAACATCAGAGAGCTGTATTTTTATACATTAATCAGCCTGACCCAAATATTCTGATTCCTAAGCATCAGAAAGTCCATTATCTTTTACTGTGGAGAYTGCAGCAGCAGTATTTTTGGCCCAGTGTGACAAGAAGATTTATTTTAATTTGTGTAACTGGCAAGGCTCCTGGTGGCAAAGGTAAGGGCACCTCTACATGCAGGACAAAGGCCGGACTCTGAAAACCCCTCAGAAAAACTGCAGAGAGGTTCTCACGCTTTATCCTGGAGAACTGGTGCACCTTTGTATTGGAGCTGTTCAGCTCAGAAATGTAGGTATTTTTTGGACACAAGTTGAGAGATGGACAAGGATGTTCTCAGCAACTGCTGCACTTACAAATGGGAGTTCTTCCGGGGAAAACASCTCAGCACTGAGCAAAGCTCAGAGAAATGGAGCTGCTTGCTCACTCAGTGCCAATCTGGTGAAGGATAAGCTGCCAATCACCAACAAACCTTGGTGTGCACTGGTGAGGGCKTAAAAGAGAAACACCCTGCTGGAATGACAGAAGAACCTGAGCAACTACCCATGCACCATGAGCCACCAGTGCTCCTTCTKCTGCAGAGAAGGTGCTGGCACCACTMGTGAAGATGAACATTCAATTAGTACTCACTCAACCACGGCACACTACCACGCACTTTGACAGCTTCTGTCTTAGTTTGCAGAAGAAAAAGCTCCAAATCTTGCCTGCACTCAAGCTGCTGACTCACAAGCCACTGCACAGGATTATCAGAACTTTCCTCCTGTGACTGTAGCACAGAGTTTCTTTTACAATACACACACAGGCTAAATTTCTACAGATGTTATCATGTCTAATAAGACATTAGACACTGCTGGTTGCACACACATGGACCACTTGCAGAGTTGCATATTCTGCCCAGCTCTTTCATTTGCCCACAGGTAAATACAGGTACATAGAAAACCTCCCTTTGATGTTCAGTACCTTTTGGARTTAAAAACACAAAGCCACCAAATAATCAACATTTGGTGGTTTTGATCTTGCTTGGCTGCAAGACTGTCCTTCTTCATCAACCAAATGTGCTGCAAGTTTGGCTGTTTCCTTTTTCTTTCTATTAATTATGAGGTTCTTGCCACGATACAACACCCTGGGTTGCTCAGACAATACCACCTATTCAGTATTTTTTTTGTGTTTCGGTGCAGCGAGGCCACGAGGAGCRTGGGGCCAGCGACGGCGGCGTGTCAGCCACGGCCACTTCTTTGAACAAGCAGCCAAGAGGCCAAACCCAAACACCAGCTCTAAAGTACCAGGCGGCGCTTCCTGCTCCAAGGCCGCGCCAGCTGCTCTGYTCCTTCCCAACTTTCACTCTCCAGGGCCACGGAAGTTCATGGCAGGTCGGGCCCGGCGCGGGGGGCCCGCGGCAGCAGCGGAGCCCGCTGGGTGGGCGCTCCCCGTGGCCTCGGCAGCTCCCGGCAGGCTGGCGGGGCGGCAGCTCCATTTGTCACCGTTCTGACAGGGGTAAACACGCACAGGCACAGCCGGGGCTGTTCCCCCCGGCTCCTCGCAGGCACCTCSGCACCTGCCGCAGGGCCCAGGGCTGCCCCCGCCGCAGGCCGGGCCGCGGGGCCTCGCACCGCCGTGCTGCTGCTTCGGCGCTACCCCCCGCGGGGCCGGACCGGGGACACGGAGCATCCCGGGCGGGCTCCATCCCCTCCCCGCGCCCGGGCGGCCTCCAGCCCCTCAGGTCGCCCCGTAGACTCGGGTTTACAAAGAGATAGAGGCCTGTGGTGCGCCGCCGCAGTCGTATAATTGTTACCAGAACGGGATCTACCTCCTCCTGAGGCTGCTGCCCGCTGAGCGACGCCGGCCGAGGACCTGTTCCTACTGAGCAAGAGCAGCGCCCGCCCGCCGGAGCTGCGTCCAACGCAGAACCCGCCACTGAATGGAGCGAACACGGAGGCGCCGGGGAGGGACACCCTGAGGGGCGGGCGTTGGCTTTGACTGATAACCCGCCCAGCCAATCGAAGGGAAGGAAACTGGCACGCGACGGGGGCGTGTGGCCAATGAGCGCTTTATCCCGCCCCAGCAGAGAGGAAGGCAGGACACGCGCGGCCGGGCGGTGCCTGCCGTATGTTAATGAACCCTGGCGAGACAGCGAATCAGCGTGGAGGGGCGGGGCCAGGAGGGAGCGAGGGGCGGGGCGAGGTGAAGGGATAGGGAATGGGGGAATGTGAGGGGATGGGGAATGGGAATGTGAGGGGATAAGGAATGGGGGAATGGGGAGTGTGAGGGGATGGGGAATGGGGGATGTGAGGGGATGGGGAATGGGGAATGTGAGGGGGTGAGGGATGTGAGGGGAGGGGGAATGTGAGGGATGGGGAATGGGGAATGTGAGGGGATGGGGAATGTAGGAATGGAGAATGTGAGGGGATGGGGAATGGGGACTGTGAGGGGTTGGGGGATGTGAGGGAATGGAGAATGGGGGATGGGGCTATGAGTGGATGGGGATGGGGCTATAAGGGGATGAGGTCTGAGGGGATGGGGCTGTCAGGGGATGGGGCTGTCAGGGGATGGGGTGTGAGGGAATGGGGATGGAGCTGTCAGGTGATGGGCTGTGAGCAGTCAGGGTTCATGACGGGTTTGGGTCCATTGTGGGCTGGGGCTGTGAGTGCCATGTGGTGCTACGATGGTGTGTGGCTCCTGAGGCCATTGCACTGGGGAGGAGGCCGAGGGGCAAAGGCAGAGCAGGAGCAAGGCAGCCAAGAGCAGTGCGGGGAAAGCACATGGGGTCACTCCACACAGAACTTCCTGAAGCAAAGGAAAGCTGGTCCCTGTGTCGAGGGTCACCGTGCTGGGTGGAACAGGGCGCTCCCCGTGTCCAGCGTCACCGTGCTGGGTGGAACAGGACTCCCCAAAACATGCAGAGCCATGGCGTGGAGTTAACCCTGCCCTCCCTGCTGCCACACAGGGCCTGGAGGGCCGGAGCACCCCTGGGCTCCAACACAAGGCCTGGCACAGGCAGGCCGCTAACACTCCAGGTCAGCACTAAAACTGCAGAAGGAAAGAGCCAAACCGTCGGCTTTCACAGCAGCACTAGATTTGGTCCTAACCTTGGCCTCACCTCAGTGTAAATGAAACGCTTCCCCAGCGCAGCCCTTGCAGTGTCTGGAGAGGGAAAGCATGAGGGAGTGAACCATGACAGCCCAGCCCACCCCAGGCTGCATCCGTCTCCTCTGCAGCCCAAACTTCGATGTTTACCAATGCTGCAGGTTTTTGTTCACCACAGAGTGRCTGGAATGGTTTGGGTTRGAAAGGACCTTAAAACTCATCCATGGGCACGGACACCTTCCKCTGTCCMARCCCCATCCAACCTGGCCTTGCTGCTCTGGGCACCCTGTGCCAGGGCCTCCCCACCCTCCCAATATTCCATCTTACCCTGCCTGCTGTCAGTTGAAAACCTGAAATTTTTGTTTTAGCAGAAACTTTTATTAGGTAAGAATTTGAATTCTCTGCCGGCGCTGAAGAGCATTTAAATAGTTCAATGTACKAAGGAGCACCCTGCAGTTAAAAGCAGAGTCACTATAGTAACAGTATCAAGTATGTAAACCTCTTAATCAAACCCTCCTCGCCTAATTATGATTTTGAGGCCTGTCATGGAGAGCACGTTCAGCTGYTTCCCCCCCACCCCATCAGCATGACTGTGGCAGCTTTGAAACGCTTCTGAATAATGCTGCTGTGCACCTATAAACAAAGGAGATTGCGAAAATAACCTGCAAGGTCATGACTTTAAGCCGGGCTAAAAATAGCCCAAATTGAAGGCATTTAAAAACGCCTGACTTGGTACGCGGATCGCATAAATCACTCCTTCTGTAAACCTGTGTCGCTTCAGACTGGCGCGGGGATCTCGCCCGGCATCACCTAATGAACAGCTGAGGCCTGGCTGACACATGCTGTGCAACACTTTGTTGTGAAAGAATGGCTGTCTTGAAAGCTGCGCTGTAATTAGTCACAGCAGAGAAAAACCTGCACCCCAGGGAACGCAATCTGGCAGGGCTGCGGGGCCTCAAACACCCGGCAGAGGGTTTGGGAGGGAGGGAGAGCTGTCGTTCGCAGGCAGCACCCGGAGCTTTTGAGCTGGTCTGTACTGCCCCCAGCCCCACAGTATGAACCGTATTTATTCTGACACCCAGGCTCCAGACTTCTCCAAGACACAGCTCGCTGTGAAGGGGAGGCCTGGTCTGTGCTTGTGCCTTTCACAGCTCCAGCTTACCCGGGGAGCAGCAGGATCATGGAATCATGGAACCACTGGGGTTGGAAAAGCCCTCAGACTGTGGAGTCCCCCCATGACCCAGCACTGCCCAGGCCACCATTGACCTGTGCCACATCCACACGGCTCCAGGGATGGGGACCACACCCCTGTCCTGGGCAGCTGTGCCAGGGTTGGATCAGCCCTTTCCATGAAGGAATTTTCCCCAGTGTCCCCCCTGTCCCTCCCCAGCCCATCCTGAGGCCGTTCCCTCTCCTCCTGTCCCTGTTCCCTGGAGCAGAGCCCGACCCCCCCRGYTGYCCCCTCCTGTCAGGGAGWTGTGCAGAGCCACAAGGTCCCCCCGGAGCCTCCTTTGCTCCAGGCTGAGCCCCTTTCCCAGCTCCCTCAGCCGCTCCTGGGGCTCCAGACCCTTCCCCAGCTCCGTTCCCTGCCCTGGACACGCTCCAGCCCCTCAATGTCTCTCTTGTGAATCTGTGTGCCACTGCCTGTGCCACAGAACAAGYGCAGCAGTTGTTTCTCCTTCCTCCCCAGGACTTCTATCACCATATTTGGTGCTCGGCTCAGAAGAGTTTCTTCTGGCACACAAGATGTTGTTGCTCTGCTGTTGCCAAGAGAACAATCGCTAGCCCTTGGAGCTGCTCGGTTTCCTGAAGCCAGCCAGCATGGATCTGTTCTCCTCTTGGCTGTGCTGAAGCAGCCTCCAGGAGTGTCACAGCTCGCCCACTACAGGGTGAGAATTCATTCAGAAACTTTTAATGCAGCAGATGACTGTTCCATGATCACTCCGTATTTCCTGCRTGCACAGGCCATTGCATTTTACCAGGGCTCCTTTCCAGAGGGAGCCAGCGCCTTGTAAATTAAAATGTATCTCCCAGAAACCATCGCTGTCTGAAGGCAGTYTCTGTAAATCACATCAAGGTGGTTTCTTAAATCCCTTCCACCCTCCTAAAACTGTGTTCTATATCTCTTTGGAGTTTTCCTAGGCTTGTGATCATTTTCTGCTTGTTTTTCCTCTCTTTATGAAAGAGAAATTCCTGCTCCATTTTTTCTCGTGATAAACCACACTGGTTGTAACCACTTACGCCTGATAAAGTAAACAGAAGGCTTTTGTTTCCCATCCTTGAGATAGTTTTGACTCTGCTTTCTGTAACATTTTCAGTTTTTCAAGTATCTTATTTAGTATAATGCCACTGGTACTGGACCCTGTGTTCTTGTTCGTTGTATCACTGATCCTTGATGCAAATAAATAAATAAAAATAATCTCTGTTCTGCTTGCCTAGATCTGCCCTTTCACTCCTTCCATAGTGCTGCACGGTCACTCCCATAAATACACTGATAAAGTAGCTCTGTGTATACAGCTGATACAGAACAAATAAGCAGTTATATTGTTTTTCATCTAACTCCCGTCTCAGAAGTTCGTGCAGCACAGACTAGCAGAACCAGCCATGCCTCAGATGGCAGTTTCTGTGGTTTGATAAAGACCAGCCTCTTCATCTTGTGCACTTTTTTCCTGTTAAAAAGCAGTGTTGATTGTTAACACTGATAATCAGACTCACCCTGGCACACCGAGATGACCCGGCTGACTCCTCACATTTACATGAGACCCCAGTGGGAATCAGGCAGTAAAGATGATGGTTACCCTGAGGCAAGGCTTGTGAAGAAAAAGGATACCTTCTATAACACCAATTTCACTAAAAGCTGTTACTTCTCTCCACAAGCTTTGCCCCTTTTACCTCTTTGGAGCGGCAACATTGCTAAATAGTTTACACTGTTTCCATGATTTTGATTCAGTTTCTGACTAGTAATTTTATGCTATGTTTTAAAGCAATTCTCCTTAAAATTTCTCATTTAGCCTCTTTGGACTCCAGTTTGGAGACCTGTTTGACCTCAGGTCATGGGTTGGCTCCGCTCTGCTGAACTCCTGGACAGCCAGGGACATGGTGAGAAAACCTGAGGTGGGCTAGCTAAGYGATATTCAGCCTATTCAGATATTCAGATAGAAGGAAGAAGCTTTTTATGATGAGGGTGGTAAATTTAAAGAGGTGAATGATAATGAGGGTGGTAAATTTTATAGTGAGGTTGGCGCAGGTTGGCCCAGAAAGGTGACAGGTGTCCCACCCCTGGAAATGTTCAAGGGCATCCTGGTCTAGTGGAGACCACAGGCACCTCACAGAGGGGATTTCATGGGGGGAGCCCACAGCCTTTTTACTGCTTTGATCCCCTAATAAACCTGCTTTTCTTCTGGGAATCACCCCCTCCCCCTCATTCCTCTGACTGCATCTGCTGCACAAAACTAGATATATTTATTTATGGGGGCTGAGGCCAACGCTCTCAGCTCTGGTGCAGTCACACAGTTTTCCTACACCATCCTCATAACCGGGAGCTTTCTTCCAGAAACCATCCCCCAGCAACCCAGCCCTGCCCTCCGAATCATCTGCCTGGATACGGCGTTTGCTTTATTTCTTATGGAAATCCGGGAGCAGGCTGAGCCCCTGCTGTCGCGATGGGAGGACAGAAGGACATTCGGGGGCGATTATCCACACCCCGGGTGGGTGTTACCGCATCAGCGCAAACCACAGCAACCACATGTGTGTCTTTGGGGCTGCACTGGGATCGCGGAGAGCTCGGACAGCGGGGCAGGACTGCCCTCTTCTGACCACTCGGGAGGGGAGACACCGAGGCTGCCACG